AGGAATTCCCAGGATTATTGTAGGAATTCTTAGGAATAAGAGGTGTGAATTTTCGCAGTAAAGTCGGACTGGGAATTCCCAATTTTAACAACTCTGGTCCTAAAAACCTAGAAATTCCCAGAAATTCCAAGTTTATAGCCAACAGGACTTGGAATTCCTAAGAATTATAACTCAGAGCACCAATGACTTTCCCTGAAAAGCTGTAAATCCGAGGAATTTCTAGGAATGTCCAGGAATTTTCAGGAATTTCTAGGAATGTTTGAGAATTACTGGGAATTTTAAGCAAAACTTTGAGGCTCCTAATATAAAATAAATACTAAAAATTAAAAAATCCCAGCTAAAATTCAAGTATTCGATGAAATTTATTTACAAACTTAATTAAGGTTTACGTGTAAAATGTTTTTGATTGTATTATGATAGAATTTGGTTTATTTTTCTTTTCTTGAAAACTTCATATGAATTAATCCTCAACTAAAGGGGTTAATTACAGTTAAATAGAATTGATATTTTATTTAAAATATTGTTGTAACTGTTACAATAAATTAGAATGAAGTTATCTTAAGCTGTAGACTTAGCTGCTGATTGTCTTTTTTTCCTGGGCTCACAGCTTTCCCTGTTGGCCTTGAATGAGGTTGTCTACAAGAAGCTTGACTATTTTGTATCTGGATTCCATGACATCTGAATTTGAAAAAATGTATATATACATATACATAAATATATATTAAAAGCTCAGCCAAGGCCTTAGATAGCTATAAGGAAAAGGACATTCATTGGAATCTTAATTTAACAAATTGCACTGGGATTGGGAAATCTCTGCTATATTGAATGACTTTTATATTGGAGTTAGTACATCTCTCCCATAGATTTTACCAAAAAAGGGCTGAATACAGTATTTTGTTTTTAGCTACGGGGGCTTCTTTATGTAATAAGGTTTGTTTAATCACTGTTTTTATTATGAATTTGCTGCATGCAAGTGACCGATTCGATTCTCACAATTATTCTAGTTTCAGTTGCGCCGAGCGTTATGTAAGCATAATTCAAGCCGGATAAAGTTTCTGCACAGCCCCGTTGGGAAAACAACTTCGTTTTACAATAGTATGGCAATGTCTTGTTTCTGTCAATGTTTCCTCTATCCAAGAACTGTATGCATAATGCAGTATGGGGCTGTGTGGAAACTTTACCTTCAAGCCGTTATATCTATTCTTTGAAAAAAATTTGATTACGTAACGAATATCGCAATTTTTACTCACCACAAACTTTCAAAATCGTAGCTTTATAAATGGCGATTCGACCCTTGTTTGTACCAGTCAAGATGTCAACTGTCGTCCCTTCTTTTAACTTCACGGCGCCAACGAATTTCTTTTCATTTACAACACTCACTTTGTTCTCGTTTTCCCACTGAACCACAACAAAACTTATCTCTAGAAATGTTATATTAGGCAAAACAGTTAAGAAAAGAAATAACTTTACACACGAGCGATCAACCGATGAAAAGTACATTCAAAGATGAGTGCCAAATAGAGTCTCCTTTATATTAAAGTTCACACGGCAACCAGGTGGACAATCAGACATGGCTTGATGCTACTCTGGTTTACAGATTTAATGAATGTAACCGAAG